AAACTTTCTAAGAAATGTTAATGATAGTGAAGTAATCAGGCAAGTGTACCCTGAGCTAAAACAGCATATAATATTTATTAGTATTAGGTAACTTATTGTGATGGAAATTCCAAGATTTCATGTCCAAAATCATAAATCCTTTCTCTTTAAGAATGAAAGAACTGTTACAAAGAGAGAATATAAGATTTTAGAGCACTGGTCCTGTGTATAAATGGCCAAAGGTCAATGGTTTTGTAAGTCATTGCCTTCCTAAGCAATCTGAAAGGTTTTTCATAGCAAGTTCAGCACTAACACAATATTTTCCATTATTGCTAAGAATGATGCTAACATAGTGAATTGGTAAGTAAGTTATGGCTCTGATCCCACAGCTTCTTGCATGTGGGTCAATAGGGAACAAAGTTGCGGGATCTGGGCATAAATATTACTATCTATTTTTTTGAAAGTTTCTTTGGAACAATTGTTTTCTTCCCACGGCACAATGTTGAAATACAAGCAAAGATTTGTTTCATATAGCAATAATATCCTTTGATTAATTACAGTATGTTTATCTTGAATTTTTAAACATTACCTGATAATTAACATAGTTTATGAATATGTAAACTGAGAATTTTCGTTGATTAATTCAATATGCCTTATTTTTTCTAAGCTCCTATTTTGATGAGAAGGGGTTGGTCCGACAACAGCTGGATTCTTTCGATGAGTTCATCCAGATGTCTGTGCAGAGAATTGTAGAAGATGCCCCACCTATTGACCTACAAGCTGAAGCTCAGCATGCCACAGGGGAAGTTGAAGAGCCAGTAAGAGGGATCTTTTCAGAGTTTCATTCTTTTAATCGTACAGATATGAAAATTGTGCTGGGAGTTCTTATTGCAGTTGAACAGCTGAAGGCTGCAGCAGCACATCCAGTCAATTAGTGCATGATATAGCTAAAAAGAAACGCATATGCTACTAATGGGGACTTGGGGAAATGAATGGGTCATTAAAGCAGTTGAAACTCATAACACTTTTGGCAAAAATAGTATGACCATAATGAACTTTATCAAGGGCGAGAAATATCAAATTTTGTAACCTTTATTCATTTCCTGCTAGATTTTCAAAAATTTTCAGCACCCACATCTGGGGCCAGATATTCAAAAGGGCTTAGCTCTCACTATTCTCATTTGGCACGTTACCAAATTGTATTCCTTAACTCCAGAAGCATGATGTGCTACATGTGATCAGAATGCCATTCTCAAACTTCTGGAACTTAATTTCAAAACATTGTTTTCAATCTAGGCCAAGTGAATGTTACACTTCTGGACACAGTTCATATCAAGTTTAAAGAAAAGCTGTCTGGAGCGAAGTGAAGATCTTGATACAAGATCTAGTAACCAAAAGATACTTATCTTCACACAGAGTAACAACTTCTGAAAAATAACTGAATAGATTTCTAGTTAGATTGTAAGCCCGTTGAGGTGGGTAACCATCTCTTAGTTCTGTGTTTGTACAGTGCCTAGTACAATGGGGTCCTGCACCATGACTGGGGTTCCTAGGTGCTGTGGTAGTACAAATACTAAAACTAAAGCAAAACTTCTGAGCCAAGTATGAAATATTTCATCATAAGGTGCAACTTACTGAAAAAAAGTAAGCTATCCATAATAGGGATTGGAATGGAAGTGCCTTTTCAGTTATAAATAAAGTTGCTAATGTTAGGCTATAGTAAACCAGCGCAAACAATAAGTATATTAAAAGAATGACTTGAATTCCACTGTTGAACATACTACATTTAACAGAATTAGAAACTGTCAGAACTCATTCATGAAACCGACAATGACAGTGGGAAAACTTGAACAGTTTATGATCTGAAATACAGCTCTTGAAGCAGCTATAATTAGGTTTTCTCCTTTTTATACTATCCATCTCCATTACCAGATCAGCTCAGTGTGCATCTATATCTGGTGGTGCACTGGACAGCTGAGTAAGGAAACTGATACTTGGGGCATAAGAAGTGGCCATAAGAAGAATGTGCACCTGCTGAAGTCCAAGTTTTTCCCCCGTTCTCTTGCCAAGAGGTCTTTTTATGCCTTACTACTGGATGAATGGATAGAATTGCTCCCACCAGAGCTTATGCAATGTGGAAATCGCCAGATAATCCAGAAAAGCATGCTGTTGCACTGACATAAGGCTTTTGTCTGCAATTTTGTGTCCTCTTCACACAACTCCTAGTCTTCCCTTTCCACCACCTGCAAGAAGTCACAGAGAGTCAAATTCTCATCTACCACTTGGTAGCATAGTGTAGTGTATTGAGATGCTACAATTATATGCACAATAGAAATATATGTAAATAAAATAGTCTTGGCTTTGTGCCATTGAGCAATTCCAGGACTTTTTTTTCCATGTACTTCTGATTTAGATTGGTTTGGGAGTAACAAAGTCGTGTATATATTTAATGTCTCTTACAGGATATCTTTTAAAACAAATACTGTGATTTCAAGTTTGAAGTTCTTGTATCTTAGTAGATTTTTAATACCATTATAAATTCATATTTACATATTTCCTTGCTGATGCAGTAAATATTAATGTTATATTGTGAAGGCAAAATAATTTTGTAATGTGATCTGATCTTACTAGACAATAAAACATCTAGCTCACCAAATGTGTGCAAATACATAGACAAGTATGTGAGAAGGGCAAGACCTGTTAAGCATTTTAATCTGCTTCTCCATTCTCAACCCAAGCCAGTGCAGGATTGTCCCTTAAAATATTTTCTCTCTCCTAATTTGTCTGGTTTGTAAATAAACAATCTGCTTCTATCACTGCTCCTGAGACTAATAGATTTCATTGTCAGAAAACTTTTTTCCTGGTAATCTTTCTAAAACTTGCCTTTCCTTAGTTTTATCACACTCTTGCTAGTGAATAATCCCTTGTAGCATGCTAAATAACTATTCTCCCTCTTTAGTGTTACAAACTCTTCAAACTACTTGGAGACCGTCTTCTGTTTCTCTTTTATTGCATCCCCTCCTGCCCAATATCTTTAGTCATGGCTAAGAGAATCTGTACATATTTAGGACTTGTGTCGACCTTTCCAGATCTTAATCCTTTGATTTTTTTTTTCTGAATTCTCTCGAGTTTATCCTACATCTGCGTTAATGAGGCATCCAGTGAAGTGTTGTAAGTGCAGTTTGTCTACAGACATATAGAAAGAGATTACCTCTCTAATCTGTGAACTGGGATCTCTGTGTGTGGCATTGTATATGTGTTAAACAAGCTCTAAATTCTCTCATGCATATTGTGACTTGCCATTCTGATCATTAAAATTAGTTATTTTGGGTTATTTTCAGCCACGATACCTGTTGAAGTTTGAACAAATCTATCTCTCCAAGCCTACGCATTGGGAAAGAGATGGCGCACCTTCACCCATGATGCCCAATGAAGCCAGACTGAGAAATCTTACGTAAGAAAAAGCTCCTTAGCAGTTGTTGGAGACCATGAAGGAACAAATCTGCAATTTAAATTAATAGGATTTTCTCTAATTTTAATTATCCCCTGTAAAAGGAAGAATTACTTCCCTATATTTAAAACAAACTACTTGAGAAGTACAAAAGATCATTGGCACTTTATTACCAAGTAATATAATTTAACAATACCAACAATTTCTTGGAATAACTTTCAGTCCTTTATTTTATGCTTTCTCTAGTTTAGAATGCATTATCTTCATATTGTAATGATATTGTCATTGGTGGGTATAAACTGTTCAGGATGGACAGGCAGTGGAGAAAAGGTGGAGAAGTTGCCTTGTATGTCAGAGCAGTATGATTGCTCAGACCTCCAGTATGAAACTGGAGAAAAGCCTGTTGAGTGTCTTTGGGTTAAGTTTAGAGGCGAGAGCAACAAGGGTGATGTCGTGGTGGGCGTCTGCTATAGTCCACCAGACCAGGAGGATGAGGTAGACGAGGCTTTTTTCAGAGAACTAACAGAAGTTTCTAGATCACAAGCTCTGGTTCTTACGGAGGACTTCAAACACCCTGACATCTGCTGGGGGAGCAATACAGCAGTGCGTAGACAATTCAGGAAGTTTTTGGAGAGTGTTGGGGACAACTTACTGGTGCAAGTGCTGGAGGAATCAACTAGGGGCCGTGGTCCTCTTGACCTGCTGCTCACAAACAGGGAAGATTGGTAGGGGAAGTAGAAGTGGGTGGCAACCTGGGCAGCAGTGACCATAAGATGGTCGAGTTCAGGATCCTGACAAAAGGAAGAAAGGAGAGCAGCAGAATACAGACCCTGGACTTCAGAAAAGCAGACTTTGACTCCCTCAGGGAACTGATGGGCAGGATCCCCTGGGAGGCTAATAAGAGGGGGAAAGGAGTCCAGGAGAGCTGGCTGTATTTTAAAGAAACCTTATTGAGGGCACAGGAACAAACCATCCCGATGTGCAGAAAGAATAGCAAATATGGCAGGTGACCAGCTTGGCTTACCAGCAAAATCTTTGGTGAGCTTAAACACAAAAAGGAAGCTTACAAGAAGTGAAAACTTGAACAGATAACTAGGGAGGAGTATAAAAATATTGCTCGAGCATGCAGGGGTGTAATCACGAAGGCCAAAGCACAATTGGAGTTGCAGCTAGCAAGGGATGTCGAGGGTAACAAGAAGGGTTTCTAACAGGTATGTTAGCAACAAGAAGAAAGTCAGGGAAAGTGTGGGCCCTTACTGAATGGGGGGGCAACCTAGTGACAAATGATATGGAAAAAGCTGAAGTACTCACTGCTTTTTTTTGCCTTGATCTTTACAGACAAGGTCAGCTCCCAGATTACTGCAGTAGGCAGCACAGTATGGGGAGGAGGTGAGCAGCCCTCAGTGGTGAAAGAACAGGTTAAGGACTATTTAGAAAAGCTGGACGTGCACAATTCCATATGTCCAGATCTAATGCATCCAAGGATGCTGAGGGAGTTGGCTGATGTGATTACAGAGCCATTGGCCATTATCTTTGAAAACTCTTGGTGATCGGGGGAGGTCCTGACAATTGGAAAAGGGGAAATGTAGTGCCCATCTTTTAAAAAAGGGAAGAAGGAGCATCCAGGGAAATACAGACCTGTCAGCCTCACCTCAGTCCCTGGAAAATCATGGAGCAGGTCCTCAAGGAATCCATTTTGAAGCACTTGGAGGTGAGGAAAGTGATCAGGAACAGTCAAAATGGATTCACCAAGGGCAAGTCATGCCTGACCAACCTGATTGCCTTCTATGATGAGATAACTGGCTCTGTGGATATGGGGAAAGTGGTGGATGTGATATATCTTGACTTTAGCAAAGCTTTTGTTTGATATGGTCTCCCACAGTATTCTTGCCAGCAAGTTAAAAAGTACAGATTGGATGAATGGACTATAAGGTGGATATAAAGCTGGCTAGATCATTAGGCTCAGCGGGTAGTGATCAACGGCTTGATGTCTAGTTGGCGGTCGGTATCAAACGGATTGTCCCAGGCGGCGGTCCTGGGGCGGGTTTTGTTCAACATCTTCATTAATGATCTGGATGATGGGATGGATTGTACCCTCAGCAAGTCTGCGGAATGACACTAAGCTGGGGGGAGAAGTAGATACTCTGGAGTGTCGGGATAGGGTCCAGAGTGACCTAGACAAATTGGAGGATTGGGCCAAAAGAAGTCCTCGTTGAACCTCATCAGATAAGTGCAGAGTCCTGGACTTAGGACAGAAGTATCCCATACACTGCTACAGGCTGGGGACCAACTGGCTAAGTGGCAGTTCTGCAGAAAAGGACCTGGGGATTATAGTGGGCGAGAAGCTGGATATGAGTCAACAGTGTGCCCTTGTTGCCAAGAAGGCTAGCGGCATATTGGACTGCATTAGTAGGAGCATTGCCAGCAGATCGAGGGAAGTGATTCGCCTCTATTGGGAATAGCCCCCCCACTACAGAAGGGATGTGGACAAATTGGAGAGAGTCCAGCGGAGGGCAACGAAAATGATTAGGGGGCTGGGGCACATGACTTACGAGGTGAGGCTGAGGGAACTGGGGCTTATTTAGTTTGCAGAAGAGAAGAGTGAGGGTGGATTTGATAGCAGCCTTCAACTACCTGAAGGGGTTCCAAAGAGGATGGAGCTCGGCTGTTCTCAGTGATGGCTGATAACAGAAGAAGCAGCAATGGTCTCAAGTTGCAGTGGGGAGGTCTAGGTTAGATATTAGGAAAAACTATTTCACTTGGAGGGTGGTGAAGCACTAGAATGGGTTACCTAGGGAGGTGATAGAATCTCCATTCTTAGAGGTTTTTAAGGTCAGGCTTGACAAAGCCCTGGTTGGGATGATTTAGTTGGGGATTGGTCCTGCTTTGAGCAGGGGGTGGGACTAGATGACCTCCTGAAGTATCTTCCAACCCTAATCTTCGATGATTCTAATGTTATAATAAAGCAGGGGTGGCCAACCTGAGCCTGAGAAGGAGCCAGAATTTTCCAATGTACATTGCCAAAGAGCCACAGTAATGTGTCAGAGCCCCCCATCAGCCCCCCAACCCCACTCCCAGCGCCTCCCACCCACCTGCAGCCTCACAGATCAGTGCCTCCCGCTCCCTCCCTGCACTTCCCAATCAGCGTGGCAGGTTCAGGGGAGGAGGCCTGTGGCAGAGCCAGGGGTTGAGCAGTGAGCACCCCCCAGCAAATTGGAAAGTTGGCGCCTGTAGCTCCAGCCCTGGAGTCGGTGCCTATACAAGGAGCTGCATATTAACTTCTGAAGAGCTGCATGTGGCTCCGGAGGTTGGCCACCCCTGTAATATAGTCATGTAGTATTTTCTTTTTCATAGATATTCTGCCCCCTTGTATGTGGACATAACTAAAACAGTTATTAAAGAAGGAGAGGACCAGTTACAGACACAGCATCAGAAAACCTTTATAGGAAAAATTCCTATCATGCTCCGTTCAACATACTGCCTGTTGAATGGCTTGACTGATCGTGATCTTTGTGAACTGAATGAATGTCCTCTTGACCCTGGTGGCTATTTCATTATTAATGGATCAGAAAAGGTAAAGAATTAGATTTCACATGAAGAAATGTTTGTTCGTTTAACCAATACTGAAAATTCCACATTATACATTGAAATGGCTCTACTATGATATGTGTTCCTCTTTCTACCAATCAGAAAACTGTTTTGTTTTTTTTAATGGAATACTACTTAAAACATTTTTGATAGTTTTGTTTCCAGTTCCAACACTGTAGTTCTGATCTAACTCTGTAAAGTGGC